TGACTTCGGCAACAGTTTTGTCTTCGATATGTTCTGTTATTGACATTCCCTCATCGGTTTTCATTGCATTTCATTTGAGGGGCATTTTAATTTCCTACGCAAGAAAAAACAGGATGTCAACATACGTACACATTTAATCAAAAACTTAATTTAGTTTTTTTTGTGAAAAACTGATGGAAGAGTTGAGAAATTTAAATATGTCATCACTTGACTTGTGTATATTTTGTTGACGTAGGTCAAAAGGTTATTGTTAAATCTGGGTAGTGTCGTCATTTGATATTTTTTAATGGCACTGATAATACCATTAGCTTGGCCTTAAATACAATTACAGTAAACAACATAAGAAGCTTACTGAGCTCAAAGACGATTAAATAGAAACACAGCTGCAAATTGGCTCGAGCCTGACCCTCTTGGATTTGCGCCTCAGCCAAAAAACTTTTTAAAAATATATATATTAAAATATACCATCGATCTGGGAAAGATAGTTAAACCTAATAATAAACATATTAAGACCAAATAAAAACCAGCTTAAGCTTATAGTAATTTTTCTAAATTAAATTCCAGAATATTTTCTAAAATGTCAAATTTTTGCATTTTGAGTTGGGTAAGCAAAAATTTGTATTTAAGTGCAAATTGATATCGTAATCAAATGCACATCTGTGACAATAGTTGGCAAATGCAATTTCTGCTTCATTAACATCGGATCCATCATCTTACCGTTACTTATCCTTGATTGACTGCTTGCAATTCACAGCTCATAAATTTGGAAATTCGCAGTGCACATTTGCAATATCTACTGTACGCGAATACTTAATCGCTTATCTTATATCGAGTGCCAACGCAAGCTACGTGCAAATTACCCATTGAGCGGTATATTTGGTGTCTGGTGAGGGGGAGGGGAGGCGAGGATGATGTATGGTGTCGATGGGTGTGACACTTTGATCACTTTCCGTAAGCCCACAATATGTCATTTTGGCTATTGGCCATTTCCATTTCTATTTCCATTGCGCCAAAATCAACTGACAAGCGTCTGACATTTCATAAAAATGTTTTATGAGCTGTTTCACTTTTGCTTTCTCGTTCGATTTGTGCATTTTGTGCCGGAATATCTGCTAATTGAATCGCTTCTCTCGCAAACTCATAAAAAGTATGTATATCCAAGTGCTACAACGTACATCATTTCCTAGTCGCCAAAGACGGACATAAATAAGTTAATGCTGTTGACTATTGGCATATCGATATATTCGTCTATATTTATAAATATATATATATATATCAACACTTCTGCAGCTCACACATTTCACATTGCTTGTTCACACTTTCGCCAATAGTTTTGCTCTACTTCCTTTGATACCCTTTAGCAAATGCATATAAAGAGCGTATTCGTTATTTAACAGCATATTACATCAGTGAAACGAACCAAATTTGCAGGTTATATTGAATAACTAAGTAAAAAGGCAATCATTATTTTGCTAAAGGGTTGTCTCGTAATAGACTATAGCCAATCCACTAGAGACTATAGCCAAGAGCTATACGAGTATATTGGTTTAGAGCATTGTTTATCTCTTCATCTGTATAAGCATATCTTTTTCGACATTCTTAAAACTGGAGCCTAGATACTGGGAACATTTACTTGTCTGTACCAGCGACAATCGATATATTAATATTGGGGTGCTTGAAAATCGATAATTACAAGTCGAAAACCACAATTCTTCCAAGATATTAAAACTACAGAGTCCATATTTGATTATCGATGTCTCGCTCAAGGATCGACATATAAATTTCCGGACCACGTCCACGTCCACGTCCACCTCCGACACGTCGCCTCATCTGAAAAGCCCGTAGCTTCTACAATTTGTAAGCTTGAGTCACCAAATTAGGAAAGCGTGTTACAGGCAATCCCCTTTGTCCATGCAAAAAATTGATTGGTCACGCCGATTGATTGGCCTCCTTATATCTCACACAGCTTAAAGCCCAGAGTCACCAATTTTCAAAAGTATATTGTTAGTAATAAAAAAATAAAAAAAAACAGAAAACAAATCATTGCAGAGCCTTCTGAGTTTAAGAGCTAAAGTTATCAAACTTTGAATATAGATTACTAGGAAAATCATCTAAAGATTGGTAAGAGAAGTTTTGATTTGAAAGAGAATGTCTTTCAAAGATAGCTAAGAAAATGTCGCCCAGCCTGTTGCTTGCCACCTTTTATTATCTTGTGTTACATCAGAGTATTTCTCAGTCGGTTACACCCGACTATAACGTTCTCACTTGTTCCATATATGTTTACTTGTAGCACTTTCACTGAACATGAAGCTGCATTCAAAAAACATATTTTATCGCAGCAAGTGTACTTGTTTTCAGTCGCAGCGCTGGTGTCGTTTATTATTTTGTGAAAATAAACTTGTTTGATATATATGCATGTATGTGTGCAGATATTGGGGTGTGTACATATATATGTAGGTCCATGTATGAATTGCATACTGTCTGGCCATCCGGTTTGTTCTTTAAATGAATTTTGAATCGTTCTTGTATTCAATGAAAATTTTCTTTTTAATGAATGAACAACATTTTTTCCGTTGTTTTATTATTTTTTACTATTGCTGTTCATTGGTGGGTTGGTGGGTTGGTGGGTTGGGGGAAGGGGCGTTCGCGATGTTCTCATACGTGTTTTTATTAGTTTCTGTTTGCCAATTGATTGGAAATATTTCTTTTCATGTTTTTATGTTCTTCGTTGCCCCTTGTTCGCTCGCTTAAAAGGCCGCAAATAAAAACAAAGAAATATGTGCAATAAACATGGGAAACCACCCCACTCCAAAGCACACCTTACTTTACATACAAGTGCCCGCACTTGAAGTGTTCTCGAACGTTGGCATTTGAATTACCCTCTGTTTAAATAATAATAATTTCAGTCATTTTATTCGACTACAGAGCGTGTGTGTTTTTGCCGGAAGATTTATGGATGAGCTCTTTGCTACACTGACTGCTCATTTTTGGCTTATAAATCTATAATTTATTTTGTTTTGATTATTGGTTATTATGATGCGCAAATCCATATGGGAAATACGCTCGGCTATGAAGCATTTTCAAAGCACATCAATATTTCGGATAATCTTTAATAATTGAATATCAAAATTACTGCAAACAATCTGCTATGCATAATTTGTGTGGAAATACTTTGAGCAAGTTAAGTTAAGATTATGAGTTATTTGATTGGATGGCAAACTATTTATTGAGTTCACGTGAGGGCAAACTTTATTAAAGTAGTTCATTTTATGGCTAAATAAATCTGCAATATTTACTTTGCTGTTGTTCTCGATTCAATAAACAGAACAATTCTTATTCAATACACAACAATTCTGATAGTTAATTGTATGTCATTTTTAAGTCAATATTAGTTTTATGCCTATTTAATTTAATGGTTTATTTGAATTCCTGCGGATGGTTAACTGTACTGTTAACGCTTGGCTCTCTCTATGCTTGGCACTGTTAACTACATTGAGTAAACGCAGTTAAGAATACTCTCAGCCTGTAACAGAAATCAGCGCATTGCTTGCAAAATGGGCGCCATTTTTGAACTGCATGAGTGGAATTTTTTCAAAAATTAAAATAAATAATAGTAAATACATGTGTTCATTTAATAATAATTATAACACAATTCTTTAGCAAGCTATGCAAGATTTTTAAAAAAGTTTCTTATTTTTTCACTTCGTTCAATTGAGTTTCTCGCATGCGATAAATGACCAGCCAACGCTGAATAGCACACAGAGCGGGAGAGCGAAAAAAGAGAGAGAGAGCTTATGCGAGCGCAAGTAACAAGCACGAAGCTTACGCTCTCTCTTTATTTAACAGAGTGGCAGCCCGAACGACCCATTGACACACTGATACACTACAATCACAGACACTCACACACACACGCACACACACACACATACACACACACACACACACAGACGATAATGTTGTCTTTGGCCGCTGATAACAGCGCGTCAATGTGTGAGTGGGTGAGAGAGAGAGAGAGAGAGAGAAAGAGAGTGCGGTTGCTACTGCTGTTAATGTTGTGTGGCTGTTACTGGAGCTGGTCTGTCGTCAGTGCCACTGCTGTTACGCCGACACACAGGTACGAGGCGTTTTGGCGCCTCTGCTGCTGCTGCTGCTAGTGCTGCTCCCCATCTTCATCGGTTCTTGGCTGCTGGCGGTGCTGGCGCTGCTCGCCTGCTGTTGGCTACCGACGTCGCCGTTGTCGCCTGCTATCTGCTGCTCGGTGCTCGCTGTTCGCTCTGTCGTTGCCAGTGTGTTCCGAATTTACAGTTAAACTTTCAACGTGCGCGCATCAGGCAGCGACAAGTGAATAGGCGGACGTTAAACAGCGACTGCGACGCGTCCGCAATTTCCATGCGCGTTGTGTTTTGAAATCACTTTTTTTGGGGCTGCGCGTAACGGTCAGCAAAAAAGCAAACAAACCACAAAAAGGAAAAAAAAAATACTAAACAAAATAACAAAAACAACAACAACAACAGCAGAACGGCAACTAAGTGCGTGAGAAATTCAAATTGCCGTGTTAAATAAATACAAGTGAAGAAGAAAAAAAGAAATCAAAACAGGAGTATTCGGCACGAAATAACGGAAATTATTGAAACCAAAACTATTTTTCCTGTGTGTGTGCCGATTAAAAATAATATTTAGATACTGCAATTGTTGTTGTTGGTGCGCGTAACAATTTCCAAACAAAAAAGAAACCAAAGTATTAAAAATATGCAAAAATGTTTAATGGAAAAGTGCTCTCAAGCAATTGAACAAAAAACAGACAGTGAAAATATTTTTCGTGGCATTCATCGACTTTTAATTGAAAACATTAAAGTAAGAAAGCTAAAACAAATATTACATAAATTTTAAATAAAATGGTATAATAATAAAGTTAAAAAGTTCGTGAACATCAATACAATTTACATATATAGTTTGAGATTTTGGTTTTATTATATTTTTTCTTTTTCTTTTTAAAAATAAATCGTTTATTATTTGTGCGTTAAGCGCAGGGCGACATTTGGCACCTGTTCAGCAAGTTTTCGAAAAGCGTTTAAAAAATCATTTTACGCAATTTATGCAAACGACTCGGAGATAGAGAGAGTGCGAGCGGGATAGAGCGAGACGGTGCCACAAGGTTTATCCAAGCAGCAACTTGACCTAATGTAAGTTGTTTTCCCTCCTCAATGCTTGTTGTTAGATAAAGATTTGGTTATTTAGCACTTAAGCGTTGACACTTATTTTTTATTTTATTATTTTTTAATTTATTTTAGGAACTGCCTACACTCGTTATCGCTGCCTTAAGCACATAAGCAAATGGTTTGACAAAAGAAGATCTCTAACAGTAAACTGTAGTGAGAATACTTGGGAAAATGTCAGCACCCCCTTCAGCTTATCGCCTAGGAAAATAACATTAATTATAGAATATGAAAGGCACTTGTAGTACTCAGTACTGTTCGACAATGACGCAGTACATCTGTTGTACTTATATTGTTGTTTATTACTGTTGAACTGCCTGAATGCAGTTAAAGTCAAATCCGGAACTTGAACTTGAATGATTACGTCGATTTTGCTGGAATATTTTCTTGAACTGAAGTGTAGATAAATGAATTTGTTGTGCAATGTTCAACTGCATCGAAACAAATATATAATATATATTCACAACATCTGTGCTTATTTGCATCAGAAAATCTACATATAAAATTCAAATTGTTTAGTATTCAGCAGCAATTGAAATATTTGAGGATTTCTAAAAAAGTATTATGAAAATATTTTATGTGAAAACAGAAAGTAAAAATAAACAATAAATTTCAAATTACAAAGTGAGAAATGTCAACAAAAAAAGTATACAAAATAAAAAGCACACTTTGTGATTTATCCTGTTCAAAAGGAGTCCTGCTCACCACATTTGATTCTATTTTTATAGCAATATGTTTGTTATGTCAAAACAATGTATAGAAAAGCTTTAAAATTGTTTTCCTCTATTCTATAATTTGTGCTACACACAGAAGTAATCAAAATACATTTTTGTTACGCCCACCTCCGCCTCCGCCTCCGCCACAATCCTCAGGCTCTTGTCGAGCACTGTCAAAATAATATTACGCAGGCGGTAGTCTTTATAGTGCCCCTTGAGGCACCAGTATTTCTTTGCAACGCGTTCATAGAGTCATGTGTCAGTCTCTCGTAGCCTGAAACTGCTTTGTATAAAGATTTCCGGTAAAATTTTAAAAGATATTAATTAGTTTTTTTGACTCATGCGTTAAGTTCCAGGCAATTGCCAAATATTCTGCAATGGTTCGCTTGTTCTCTAAAGTGTGCAGCCGCTGTGAATGTATATTTAAATTAGCCCACTTTATACACACACCCACACACACACCCACACACACGCATGTGTAAATTTTAATTGCAAAACAACAAAAAAAAGCGCTACAAATAAAAGACAACATGGCGGCAACTGCAGCTCGCTCACACTCAGACAGACAGCTAGACAGTCAGACAAACCGACAAAATGTCTGAGAAACTGACAGAGCGATAGACTACGCATATATTGTCGTGTTCAACTGACAACAACAATACCAACTAAGAGCGACAAGAGGCGGCCTTGAACATGAAAAGTGAAGAGAACGTTGCCAAGAGATGGAAAACAATTCATGTGCGGCACTTACACTAATTGCAGCTCATGTGCAGATAATTATAGCCAGGAGTGCCTGACAACTGCATATATGAAACTCTTTCTCTCTTTATTTTTTTTGGGTGCGGCGGAAGGATCTTCTTCGTCTTCTGTGGCACGACATGTGTGTTCAAGTGGTGGTAATACTCCTTGAAAAGCACTTAAGCGACCATTTTTCGGCGCAGGTTGTATTGCTATTCTTTTCTTTACATATTTAATAACATAAAGATTGCTTTTATTGAGTTTTTGATGTCGAGCAAATGGCCTGCAGCTGTGAGCAAGACAAATGCTATTTGCAAGCCAAAAACCATGAGATAACTTAGAGCATGTTTTGCGGCTCCAGGACATATGTATTTAATGAAATTCCACTTGAGGAAAATATGTTTAAATATTCGCATTTACACAATTTATGGAAATTGTGTTTTTAGATAGAGCAACGTTGAGAGAAGAAAAGTGGAATTTTCATTAGTTGCTCATATACAAATCTGCGGGCTCATACAACAATTTTCGCTGAATATTTCCTGAACAAACAAAATGAATTTGGCTTTTGGAAAATTCCATTGTTCGAATGGTATTCAACTGCAATTGCGCTGCGATATTATCTTACATTGGTAAATCAAGTCTTTTAACAAAACGGATATGAAGAGGTGTAGGCTGTCGCGTGGCAATTGTAAATTGAATGCGTTCACGACAGTCTAAAGGTAAAAGGACAACAATGCGTATACGTAACACAGTTGATAGACACCGACAAATACACAAAATCCATTGTATCGAATTGTTTTGGCTTCACCCTAACTGCCTCAAACCATTACCTGCCCCTCTATTACTACACTTGGCTAGTTGGTTCGGTGTACAGAACAGTCAGAAAGAAGAACTCTGACAAAACCAAAATTTGTTGCAACTAAAATACTATAATCCTTAGCATTGAAAAGAGGTTTAAATACTTTGAATTTTGATAAGAATGCCTTATACTACGGTTAATCAAATATTGATTTAGAACTATAAATCTGCAACTTCAAAGTGAAGAATCTATTGTGTTTTTCCATTAAATGGCCGGGGAAAATATATCTAGATTGAACTTTGAACCCACTAATGACAATATCTTTAAGACTGTAGCTTACGTAGATTTTCGCAATTTGCAAGGCGTGTCTAGAAATCTCATTCATTCATTCGGTATTCTTTTGACACCCTCCAGCAACAAAGTACATACAAAACAAAAGCATGGCATGAAGTGTGACAGAAATGGAAATTGAAGTGTGGGGAATGTGGGCCTGTCTCGGTGTTTGGCCAATTAGTTGGCCTATTTTTTTCTGTTTTTTTTTTTTTTTTGGGGCAAATATACCGAGCAGCGAGTCGGTTAGCCTTAGCTTAACGTTTTGCCAAATGAACGAAGGCAAACTAAGCTCCCCAAAAAGCTCTTAATTAATTAATAATTAATCACCGAAAAGCCGCCGCACCAAAAAAAGATATCGAAAATCGTTACAAAATTCTACACTTGAAAATGCTACTCCTACCAATTCATGCATACGGACACACATATGTATATCTGAAAGGTCAGAGAACTGAGTGCAGTCGTATGTGTTTGAGTGTACTCACACGCATTCGCTTAGTCGCTCGCCCACTCACTGCCATTGTCAATGTTCAGAGACGTTAGCTGGCTAGCTGCTTGCGCTTATCATAATGACCGAAATGCTCTAATCGGGGGCAATTAACGTGACTAAATTTAATTTCCGCCCAGGTCGCTATCACTGCCAGCGTCGCATCCCCTCGCCTCCCGTCGCCTCGCCTCGTTTCCTTATATTATTTACAAAATATCATTTGTTGGCCAAGTCATCTAATGCCATTGGAAATCCATCATGTAAGCCATGCGCCTTTTCTTTGTTTGTGCTTTCTTTCCATCTTGCCATCTTTTTGTTGTCTGCTTTGTCGTTTGCAGCTTGCTTTTTGTGTGTTTATTCGCGCGCAAAGATAAATGAGCGCACCGCCCAACCACCTGAAATACACCCACTCAACCACCCACTCGACTGTGATTAGCTGCCTGCCAGGTATTTGTGGTTGCTGCTTCCTCAAGTTTCAAGTCTTTAAACTTGCGGCATCTGTGTCCGCCCGTATCCGACGTGTCCGCGTCACGCCTCCGTTAAATGTGCGCCTTGGGCGCAGTTTTCCTATGGCCCTAAACATATATATATATATATGAAGCAGAGAACAGGAGAGCTGTTGCTCCAGCAAATTACTTATGTTAATTAGTTAGTCACTGCTAATGAGAAATCGCACACAGAAGATCCTGAGACCTCAATAAAATGATTGTCTGCAGTCATAACCCCACTTTAAACTCCAGGAAAAGTCCTTGGCTACATATTTGCCATTTAGCCTCTTCAACATAATTGACTGTTTTGTAATGTTGCCAATGTTTTGCAATTTGAAGCAAATCTCAGCAACTAATAAACTATTTTCGATACATGAGCATTTTGCCAAGTAAGTCTCTCGGTCGTAAATGTAAATAAAATTTGATTATTGAAATTGGGATAGAGTCAAATGTTTTGTGTATTTAGCTAATTGTGTAGAATCGTAAACGGCAAATGTTATTAATTAAAACACATTGTATTGCGTACTGTCGGAAATGAATCGTGAATAGGATTAGTGTATTTCTCATTAACTCACATATCAATTAAAGATGACGTCAAATCAATTAAATTTTCTCAGAACAATTGACTTGGTATAATTGGTGATGACTTTAATCAGTAGCGAAAAGTTTAATGAATGTTCGGTATGCAACATTTGCATTATTCAAATCATATTATGGAAATAATTTATGTATGACGAGTATAATTAAACTTTCAGCTGTCTTAGTCACGGTGACCTTTACAAAATGTACCTTGCAGGCGTCCATTGGCTCTTCAACTTTGGATCAGATATTTACAAAACTCATCATGTAAATATGCGACTTACAGTCTTCAACACAATAATAATATCCTCTGCAAGAATATAATAAATTTGTTGCCATAGTTCAAATACTGAGGTTTAATTGCTTTTCAAATGAATATGTACTTTCTCTTTAAAATTATTTTGTATCTGGGACAGTCGGCTACAAATTTCGAATCAAACTTAATTAGAACTTAATTATAAGGCAGAAAATTCTAAGTAGGCAGGATATATTAACTTAGCTTGAGGACTGCTTTAAAACTAAAGAATAGAATCATTTGATTGAGATATTGAAGAAGATTGTAAAATAAATATTATAGAAATGTAGTATAATAATATATAGTGTAATAATATTAAAAATGCAATTGATCAATTAACTTGAATATGGTAAGCAAAATTAATCTTCACCTTAATTGCTTTTAAAATGTCAAATAATGAAATTTTAATTTGCCTTGTGTAATTTTCATAAAATACACACTCAATATTTATATTTATATATATTTAAATATGTATATATGTAAGTGTTGCCAAAAGGCAGGGCGAAATAATGTCAATAAAATACATTTTACCAGA